TATTAATAATAAACCAAAAAAAAAAAAAACACAATTCACTTGAATTTACACTGTTTTAAACAATGAACAAAACGTTTAAATAAATGTTTTAAATACCTGTCTTAAACAAGTTGTTAAAACATTGTGTTCCAAACATAACAACATGTGGTGGTGAACTTACTATAAAATAATCCGATATTGTACCTACTACGTACACATCTTTTCCTCACTGTAATAAGTATTATATTAAATGGAAATAATTATTTTAAACTTTTGATTTTTGCGGAATTATATTGTATAATGTTGGACTAGAGCATAATATACCATTATTATTTTGTTTACTTTAGGTTTGTCGCGGAATTTAAACTGTATAACTATTATTATATACTATTAAAACATGTATACGTATATCGTATAATGTTGTCGGAAACGTCAAAACTGATCTTAATACGATGATATGAAGTAACTATTTAACACCCTGGGGGATATGATATTATTATGGATCCATAGGATTCGACATTTTGACAATGACTTCGTTTTTTAATCGAAACATAATCAAAAAAACGACGCGTGCCGTTTAAGTTGTTTAACGTATATAATTTATTTATTTTAAATAATGTCATAATAATATCAAAGCTCTATAATTTTATTCTTTTTCTGACGGAAAGTACTATAAGATTTTTTTAGGATATTATTCCATAAAAAAAAACGATACACTGGCTTAGGTAGTTTATGGTAGTACACTAGTACTGGAAAGTTGTTGGTGTAAATATACATAAAAAAATTATTTGTCATTTTAACCCAAATGATTTATAAAATTCTAAAAATAAAAAATAAGTTTATAACTAATAAAACATTAATAAATAAGTGCCTACTTAAATTTAGTGTTAAAACCGATTACCGACTCACTGTACCAATATTATTGTTATACCTACAAGCAAACGAAACATATACTTGTATTATTTTACCTAACTAGTAAAACTGAATTAATTCTCACAGATTAATCAATAACTTGTGATTGTTTTTTTTTTGTATTATTCTATCCGTTTATTTTAATCGTTTGAATAAACTTTAATAATACAGTAAGCTATTGTATATTATATTATGATAATAGTGTCTTAGTTAGTATATTTCATATTTTAAAAACAATTATAATCTATAAACTATAATTATACAATTACCGGCTACCACACAATGCACATTAATATTTTTTAGACTTAATACATTTAATAACAAGTATAGATACTCGTACCCAAAGTTATTGTAGCAGCAGTTGTTCATACAAATAATCATAATGTCATAATGATATAAATATACATTTATCTGCTTAATCACCGATTGAAATATTTTAGAAAAAAGTCACAAATTCCCTGATTCCCGCATAACATAATTTATGTAAGCTCGAGGTAAGGAAATATTGAAAAGTGCAGGAAAATCGAACGTCCGAATAAACTTTTCAGTGACTTAAAATAGGACTCGGGAGTCTTTATCGCATTATCTGGTATATGCGTCTTAAGAGAAACATGTATTTTTAATGAAAAAAAAACGCTTTATTTGAAACTGCAGAGTTCCTTAACTTTGTTTCACATAAAACAACAAATTATTTAATATTAAATTTTGGACATAAGTATAAGTATAAGTACCTGCATTCCTTTTAATCGTGTAAACATATGTTCGTCCTAATGTGTGTAGCTTTAATGACACTTCAAAAGATACATTTTGTTATTATAATGCTACCGTAATTATACTAATAAGAGGCACACTGAACAAACAGCTAATTATCAATGAGCAGTAACATGTAACTTGTTAGTACAAATTAAAGCCACATTTTGGAAAACATTAAGTATTATACTCAATATTATAATGATCGTGTTGAAAATTAATTTTAAAAATAAAATTTGTCCCAAGCATTTTACTTACGAAAGAATTCTGTATAATACATTTTTCCATGGCCTTATTTCAAAATGATATCCTATTCTGATGCTCATTGGAACTCGTAGAATATTAATTGTTCGGAAACATTTATGAATATTAATTTTTCAGATAAATGTTATTAAACTGAATCACTTGAGTTTTATTGATAACAATAATCGTTTAAAACGTGTATCTGTAGTTACAGTGGATCAATTTTTTTTTAATTTTGCCTATAATATTGTAATAATATAATTATTAATATAATATTATCTGGGTTAATTTAAATTACATTTTCCGTATCTTTGTACATTTTCATGAACAACTAACTTTTTTGATAAACGAACTAAAATTTAAACGATAATTGCTGCAGTTTTATCTCATTATATTATGTAGTTACCTATATAATATTATATAATAGGTACAAGACGTTTAATTATACTATACTACATAGGTACCTATTAACTATAGTAAATAATAAAACTTAAGTAATTTAACCTTAAACTAATTGTGTTATAAGTTTATAACTTATAATATTGTAAACATCAAAAGTTTCTTTTATTTTAAGTGAATGCATTTAAACAATATAATATTATACATTTATACCTATACCCAAAGTGAAGAGAACACAATTTATCAGCAAGTTAACTATAATACTTAATAGTTATCATCGAATTGATACGATTTGAAGTTGTAAAATTAAAGAATATATTATGTATTCAATCTTTATGTACATACTAGAAATATAGACAATTTATTGAATTACAATATTGGTACAAACTCTGAAATCAATATGCACTCCGAGAAAAGTACAATATAAAAACATATTATTATTCTTTTAAATCAAGCTTTCTATGATTAATCATGTTTTGTCATATTCACGTGCGTCTGTAGATTTCTTTATATAATAATGGTATTGTACCAATTTGTACGAGGACTATATGACCAATAAATGTAATGAATTTATGATATCTATATACCTCATATATAGTATATCGATAATAGTTAATAATATATATTTATTATTTAAGTCCAGAATATCTCTTATAAACTTTAAAAATCGATACGGACAGTATGTTCAGAGAAAAAGTTTGAAATGTTGGTCCCCTCAACTCCAATAACATAAACATCACGCGACAATGCGATATATTAGGTACTCCTATTTGCTCTTATTTTAAAAATCGTATTTCACCTGCAAGCCATTAAAAATTCTTACCAGACGATTATTACCAGTCCTCTGATGCGTCACATCTATTTCGTAAAAAGTCTGACAATTTGAATGTCGGTGTAGAATGGAAAAATATCCAAACAAGCCGCCCCAAAACTGTACTGAACATGCGCACAGAACAAGTACGCGAGTCTTGTTACCTGTAAAACATCAACAATTATTATTGAAAGAATAATAGTAAAAATTAAATGTTTTGACTTGGACTTAATAATAATCGAATATTAATTGTACCTAATGACGAATAACAGTTATTAGTTACTATTATACTGTATGATAGTAGGATTTTATAGTACAGTTCGAAGTTATTAGAATACACAAAATAATATAGTTTAACTTATGTAATATATACATAAGCCAATAGAGACGTGACCGTCGCATAATATAAAAACAATAATTACTGAACAAATTTGTAATTTTTGACTGATTTCGGTATTCCCAGAATAATTCCTTCCTTTAAAAAAAAAAAATAGAATCGTTTTAACGAATTTCTTAGAAGTGCCCATCCTATGTATAGCTGGTTCGTAATTTGTTTTTCCCATATGAATTATACTTCGAAATGTCATTTAAATATAGGTACCTACATCTAATATTATACAGTATAAACAGTCTAATAGTATAAACATGCATTATGTCTTACAAATAAAAAACTAGTTATCGTTTTTCTCTGAGTACTCGTGTTCAGGTAACTATAAAGAGAACCTAATATTGAAAAAAGGTTTAAGTAAACATGAAAGTTTGAGTCACCCACGCCACCTACCTACGCTGTTCTAACTAAAATTAAGTTGTTCGTGCTAAATCTTTAACGAAATGTTTGTTCAGTATAAACTATATACAAAGTGCATGTAATATAATATTATGTGCTTGAATAATGAGACGTAGGTATTTTTTTTTCGTTTATATTATAAAATATAATTTACATGTAAGGCAAATAGCATATAATAACCATCACATTATAATAATATGATAATAATATTAATAATTATATCGAAAAATCTCAAAAACCCTATTCCTAATATATTAGTTATTTAAATATATTTACTCATTATAATATTATATACAATACGAAATTATTAAGACAAAAGTAATATATTATTATAAGACTTTAATTTTATATTTATATTTTTTAAGCACACGTTTTCTTGCTGTTGAAATTGAACGGATAGTTTCTAGGCTTCTAGTTGACCTTTGTTTTTCTTACAGTAAAGATTTTAGTGAAATATAAATTATATTTAATTTTTTTTAGTATTTCATAAGAACCTATGGTATTTTTGCTAGGATTAGGGTCTTACTTTATCATAAATTCTCTGTTGAAAGTTCAAAACAAATAATACAGCGTTGGCTGATAAATAAACAATTTATAAAGCTCTTTAAGTAGTTTTTGTACACAGTAGTTTTTTAGTCGTTATTTCTAATTTATTATTTTTCCTTACGTCCCACGAGAACGCTAATTAAAATTGTATTCATATTTTTCAGCGTCAATGGCTATTTTGCCTCATAGATTTTTTTCTTTTTAGATTTACGATACATTTCTTAGGTTACATATTTCCGAATAGATTATTATTTTTGTATTTTGGTTCTTAGAGGAGTGGTCGAAGAAGACGAATTTCTATCTTTATCATCCGTACAAGTAGTAAAGTTGATTTTCAGTGACGAACTTAAAGTTCCATCTGAAGATAAATATAGGCAAACTAAAATTGATAAATGTTCAATTTTAATCCTAGGGCAAAAATAATTAACCTATTTAGTAGTATTACCTATATTTTGGTAGTCTAATTAATTTATTACTACCTATGTTTATTGTTGTAGATATTTGAATGTGTTATTCGATGGGTAAAACATGTTTTGGGTTCCAGAAAATGTATTTTTCCCCAATTAATGGAACATGTACCTACGTTTACCATTAATATCGAAAAATTACATATTGAACAAAGTAGTTAAGGAACCTCTTTATAATAATTGTCTTAAATGTAAGTTTCTTATTAAAATATATTCCTATTGTGAACGAAATCATATTTTATATATTTATAATTGTTGAGGTAAATATTACGTAATTGAGGCATTACAGTTTAATTTAATTAAGTCAGATGGATCATTGTCATACATAACAGCCGGACTAAACCTAGGCTTAAAGATAAAGTATATGATTCCGTTATAATTTATTATTTAAATTTCCATTATTTTAATTGATTTATTTGTAACAGGTTATTTTTGTGGTTTGTGGATCAATTGCAAGGAATAGTACGGAATGGTACGACCCAAAAGTCAACCAATGGTTATTTGGACCTGACATGATTTCACCTCGTTATTGTGCTCGTCTAGCTGTAGTAAATTATAATTTTGTGTTTGCACTTCAATTCTGGGTGGTTGTTTTGAATCACCTCTTCAGTCTGTGGATATGCTAGATTTATCTTCAGAAACACCTTGTTGGAAGCCAGCCGTTGACATGTTAGTTAGAAGAGATGGATTAGGAGTTGGTTTAATAAATAAGTATCTATATGCCGTAACCCGTAAGTTACGTGGAAATAAAACTTATTTCCATGTTAGTATTACTTCTGTTATAAAGTGAGCACCAATAATTTATTTATAAAATCTAGGTTGGCGGGCATGACGGTACTAATACTTTAAATAGTGCAGGAGCTTTTAACTGCAATACTCAAGAATGGTGTATGATATCTAATATGTCTACCAGAAGAAACTACGTTGGGGTTGGAGTGCTGAATAATCTTTTATATGTGGTAAATTATTACTAATTTATTACGATTTTGAACTTGTAATAGATTTGTAATAATATTGTAATCATAAAATATATCCCTCAAATAAAATATTTCGATAAATTACCAACTAAATACATAATATATTATTATAAATATTCGTTTATATTTGTTAATGAGAAATATGGTTTTTTTCATTGCTGACAAACTTTTAAATGAGTAGGTATCAAAATTCTGTTTAGAGTTGTATACATAGGTAACATAATAAATTATATAATCTGAAAATGGTAGTATAGAATAGGTATATAAAAATAAATTATATTTTATTTAATGTTAATTATCAATGTTTTGTTTAATGTCTTAATTTTCATTACTGATTATTTCATACTATCTATATCAAGCTGGATTCTTAATTTCTAATATGGTTAACACTATAGTGTATTTAACATGATATATTAATTAGTAATACGACATGTATGTTTTTAATTATTCAAAAACATAATGTTTTAAATTTGGGGCCTTGCCCTTGGATTAACTGGAATCCTTAACACCCCTAAAACCCTTAAAAAATCAATCACCCTAAATCCATATAACCAGAATGATTCTGATCCTTCCTATAGCCAATTATTCTAAACATTTTAGTTAACTTATATCCGTCGAATTAGTAAGTGGTAAATAAAGAGGTACTTAATTAATTCCCCACTGTCTTAATTCTTGTAGTTTCTTAGAAAAATGTAACTACTGTACAAACTGAGTTTGGTCTAAAACAACTGTTGCGCATTCGTGTTAGGAACTTATATTTTAAGAACATGTTCTATGGGGCCCATTATCTTCTTGAAGAATAAATAATAATAATAATAAAAAAAAAATAAATATTTTATAATAAATAACATAAATGATTTTTTTTAACATTTCTTTTTTGGCTCGACAGTTTTTGGGGTGGCTCAGTCTTCAAAAGTTGTTTTTTTTTCTAGACTACTAAACACCCGTACTAGCCAATATTAACCCGAATAATAACGGTTATTAAAACCCGGACGTTTGTTTAATTTTTTTATCCCGTTGCTTCAACACCCGAATACATCCAGCACCCGAAACCCGAATAAATGATGCGGGTGCTAAGCCCTGGTTTTAATTTATTGTTCAACGTTTCATAAATATATATTATATTTTAATCACTTTCATGGAAAAATGCTATGCAGTAATACTGTACCTACTCCAGGGATTCTTTATCGTGAGACCAGGTGTTTTTATTCCATAATTTGTTTTAATTAAATTATGCAGGTAGGAGGTGAAGATTGTTCATCAAGGCAGTATTTAAACTCTGCTGAATATTATAATCCCAGTCTTGATACATGGACACCAGTGGCTGAAATGTGTGCACGTCGAAAGAGTGTTAGTGTAGGAGTTTTAGATGATGTACTGTATGCTGTAGGTGGTTCTGATGAATCAGAGATTCTGATTAGTGTTGAACTATACAGACCAAGTACAGGAGTTTGGACTAGGATTGCTGACATGTATTTCTATCGACAATTGGCTAGTATCTATCGTACAATGTAATATAATAAAATATACTCAACATTATTTATGAAACATTTTTTTAAAAATTATATTAAGTTTAAGTTAATTTTTTAATATAGGAGTAGTTGCATTAAATGGTTTATTGTATGTCGTCGGTGGAAACGATGGATTTGGTTTGGATTCTGCAGAGTTTTACAACCCCGACACCAATACCTGGACCATGGTTACATCTTCAATGAATGTTGCACGAGCTGTAGCAAGAGTAGTAGCCATTGATAGGCCACTACATTTTAAAACTTATTAGCATCTATTTTTTCATTTGATACAATATAATACAATTTTCTTATATTATATGATAGAATATTTATTGTTTTTCTATTTATTTGACAGTTTTTGATTTTTTATAAACATCTTTTAGTATTATAATATTCGTCGATATCACTAACATTTTCAAAATATAATGTTGTTGTTAAAATTGTATAAAATGATTATAGTTTCTATAGCTATAGATTAACAATTAGAAACAAGGTTTCTCATAAGCAGTTAAAACTGTAACCAACAAATTTAAATAGTATTTATACCTTAACTCAGTTTTTTTTTATATATAGGTAATCTTAAGTTAAAATTCAGATGAAATTAGAGAATTTAACGGAGGATTACTGTTTTAGTGATATTATTATTGTTTAAATTTAAAAATATTATTCTTCAGACTTGAAACTTTTAAAGTAGGTTTGTGTATAAAATATATTTTATACACACTTTGGCATTTTAAAATTCGTGCGTCAAAAATTAATTCAACGGCCACCCGTCCCTCCCGTCCTTCTTTAATTTATAGAATTTAATTTTTCTCAAAATTATTTATTGGGCCATCTGTTATAAGTTTGAATAATGAGCTTAGTTTATGATAATAAATAAAATAAATTATTAACATGGAAATAACAGAGTGAAGAGGCTATCGGCCTTCCAGTGGATATTTTTCATCGTGAAATTTATAAAATTTAAGTGTGTATTTACTACTTACCAACTCATTTTGTGAAAAATACTCGAAAAATCAATGTTTAGTTAGTTAAATGGGTTTATTATTTCGATGTACATATTATAGTGTAATTAGTGTAAATATGTAATATACGTATACGTAATATTATATTATGTAGGTATAGTATTGGTTCATTAAATAACACAATTGTGTGTAATTTCGGCAAATCCCACACAATTGGTACCTATCATTACCAGAGTTTGAGTAAGTTAATCTCAATGACATAACTAGCGTGTTTTTTAACGCGAGTATTATTGAACAAATAACGATATTACGTTGTAATACAATATCGTCAATTAATGATTTTAAGATTTACATATAAATGACATTTTTTGTACCTAATTTATGTATTTTTATCTAACCACTGTGATTTAAATAGGAATGAGTAACTGACATAATATCATATAGCGATAACTGATACGTTATTATGAAAATATTTTCGAGGGGGTACAGTGGAACAGGAAAACAACGACCATATTCATAAATGATTTTCATCACCGAGCCATAAAAATAATCTCTAAAAGGATACCATGACTGACTGACCGACTGACTGGTATATAACACATAGTGGACACTGGATAGTGAGAATTTATGTTATTTAGATTTCAGGTAAAATTCTTAGATAAATTGAAGTTGTCGATAAAAAGGAAAATATCCAACGGTTAAAAATATTAGGTTGATTGATATATAGTACCTTATAAGTTATAAGATGTATTCCATAGATTGTGAAGTTCTTATAGCACATTCTATATAAACCGTAAAATACATATTATTGTAGTAGTATATAAGCTCGAAGAAGAACTATTGCCGATATAAGATATGGTAATGCTGAACGAGAAAAATAAGATTTTTTTAATTTAAATTTTTTTTTTAAGAAACGTTTGAAATGTTTTAAGAACAATAACATAAAACAATTAAAACCAACAAATAAATTTATTTTACAATATAATATTATAATATATAACACCTACCTTTAAGGTACTAAGGTATTTAATAAATATAATATAACGTAATTTTATAAAACCTTGTCGGTTTGCAGATGATAAAATATATAAACAAACTATGCATCATTAAGATTTAAGTTATTCGTAAGTGTAGGTATACGAACTATTCATTATAATTTATAAAACTAGTTAGAATATCGAAAAAAAATAATGTGACCAGTAAATAATAAACCACGAGTGGGGGTGACACATTCGTTTTATAGGTATTCGTTGTTTTCTTAAATAATGGTAATAATTTATTGTTCTATGTGTGTACGTATATTATACTTTAAGTTTGTTTGCTTTGGAGGGTTGGAAACCAGCAGGGTGTTATAACTCTTTTTTAAAAGTTTTGGGAATTTACAATACTAACATTGTTCCTTATCTCGCAGGTAAGAGTAGGTACCTACGTCATACATTTAAATAAATTGCATTACAATTTTCGTCTACAACACTAGGGAATATTCAAATAGGGTATTAAGTTCTTTATAAAATATTAAACTCGATTCAAACCGTGCGTCAAATACCTATTATTACTCACTTCACGCCCGTGAAAACATTCTATAATACCTATATGCAGTGTTTTAAAATACCTACACGTACACTTTACATTGTGTATATAACAATATTATGAACACTTGTTGGAAATACATTATACTTTCGTCATTATATTGTCGACACGATGTTGCATATGACATATACAGGGTGAATCACGCCAAGCACGCTCATCCATATTTTTTCATCTAATAACGAACTTAGTAATATTTTGATTTTTGGATTTTCTATTGATATTTGATAGATAATTTTTTTTGAAAATTTTTATGTAAAAACCTAATTCAAAATTTGAAAACACAGCTTATCAGTTATACAATTTTAATTAAATCTACATACTAAGAATAGTAATCCTTAAAAACGGTTTTACAAAAATATAAAATAGCCGATGCAACATTGGATCTAGTATTTGTTATGGGTACTTGGACAGATTTTATAAATTACATAAATATTGATAGATGTATTTAAATTTAAAATTACTTAAATTTTCAATTCACCATAGCCCTCATATAATGATCAACCATGGAAATATTATCCTTAATGCAGTTAAATAACTCAAAAACTACTCGTTTGCATCTTAACGGAACACTCCTTAAGTAGCATAAAAATTTCAATAATTTCAATAGTCTTTAAGTATATTTAAAAATTTGAACGGCATTGTTGAAGACCAAAAATGGGGATGATCATGCTTTATGAATCATCCTGTATAATGAATTAAGAGACTCAGAGTAGATTTTACGTGATCGTGAGAAGGGATGGCAGGGATGAAATGTTATCCGATGGGTCCAATAACGGTCTTTCTATGGGGTCTGAAGTTATTTTATTGTTTACAGTATACTGTAGGTACTATATATATTATAATGTAAAAACATGTACACCTACACCGAAAATGTCGAAATCTTTACTTACCAAATGGAAAAGTATATTTGTTTCAAAATGTAAGATTGTGTAAGTAGTTCCAGCGTAATTGATGTCTAAAAGTAAAATGCTCTTGTCAAAAATATATTTATCACTCACCAGTAAATTTCAGACCGACCTGAGGGGACACGGTCGACACAACAACGCTTTTGATTGTACCTAGGTATGCCGTACAATGAATAATTGCACATATAATATTTTTTTATCAGCCGTATGATACATTTTTATTTTATACTAGGGGGATTTTCCTCCTGATCACTACGCTCTTTTGGATTTTTTTCCAACCACCTCGGGGTATTATGTAAAATGCTTTCTATATTTTAATACTCATAAAGTCATGACTGTCACTGTTCTTTTTTTTTAATTTTAATTTTTTTTTCTTTATTGCCTATGCAGTTAAATAACACCGGAAAATATTTTGAAAACTTTTTTCTACAGATATAATACGACGTGTATACCAAATTGTGCTTAAGGTTATAATGTATCCTTCTTTTGTTTGGAATCTGTATTCTATATATGTGTAAGATGTGACTGTCTCTAATATTCAGAGTAAAGACCTGAGGATTGCTTAACTATTAAAGCCCCAGGGTATTAAAAAAAAATAATAGTAATAATAACGTAATTCGTATAGTCAAAAGTATTGATTTCGCGTACAATAAAAAATAAATTATAACATAGGTATGTTCATAAAATTCCAAAATTTCCAATGTTACTATAATTCCTTATTTACATAATATGTGCAATCATTGTACAGGTATAGTTTGTAGAAGTATAATATATTTCAACAAAAAATCTCCTCAGAGCTCCGTGTGAATAAAAAAACGCTAAGTATAAAAAAAAGCTCTAAAAATTGTCTAATCATTTTATAGCTAAGTCTATTGAACTACAGATAGTTTATGTTAAATTGTCTGCTAAATAATGGAAATGGAACTTAGCTTGGCCACTTTAAAACACTTGATTTACGACTATACGAATTACTAACATTTTAAAATATCAATAGCCTACATATCTTCCAAACCCATTATAACGCATATAATCTTTGTACACACATCTTTGTACACTAAGTAGTACCTAAAAATATATTGAAAATATAGTTTTTATAAAGATATTTTATAGATCTATAGAGTAAAGATATGATTTTTTTTTTTTTATTGGTCTTAAACCCGGAAACTGAGGCCATTAGCTGTAGGATGGTACTGGAAAATTTGGTAATATTTAGGTATATTTATAAATTCCAAAATCAGATTTTCAATAATTGCACTGTTCAAGGAAAACGTAGTAAGAATGTTCGGCGAATCACATTATTATTATGTTTGTAATTTAAAAACATAAAACATTACTATAATATAATTATAATATCGTTCTGACAGCCGTCTTCGCTCAGAATGTCTTTTTCGTAAACAATGATTTTATATCAGCTGTTTGATTTGAAAAGTCACGAGCGGTCAATTGCAGTTATCTACAGTTGACCTATACCGCCGCTGACGATGTCTAAACCGGTATGTACAAGACGTGATAATCTCAGCACTCACACACACGTCACATACGCACACGCACTCACACACACGCCACTACGTACACGCCACATACGTACACTTATTCAAATATTAGTATAACCAGCTGTTAAATAATCACTGATAATATTTGATAATATAGTTTTTCTCATATTAATATATTATACAAAACAAGTGCCACATCCTATTGTTTTCGTTGTTGTTGTTATTCGTGCAAAGTGTTTGTTGTGAGTATAATAAGGTCTATGATTATATTAAATAATTTTTTCGTTGTGAAAATTTAGCAGTGTTTATATTATTGTAGAGTACACCCAAATCGCGACGTAATTCTTCGTATATCCGTAAGTAAGCGCAAACTGCCATATAGGTACGAAAGATTTATTATTGACTTGTTTCGTACGACCCCTACTACACCCGTACACTTCGTTATAATATATAATAATGTAACATATAATATAGCCGGGATGATCTCAGCGTTACGACGAGACTCTGGGGGCTGGGAATACAATAGTCATTATTAACAATTTTAACATTTAGCATGGACCACATGTGTCAGGAGGGCCACCGCAAATAACTACGATGCAATAGTAGAATATTATGGTAAACGGACGTTTCGTCCCCGTCAAAAAAAATAGTACACGGACGTTTCGTCCCCGGCAATTATTGAGATAGGACGTTTCGTCCCTGAGAGTTATTAGCCATAGGACGTTTGATCTTCGGTATACTTTGATAATCTAAATACATTAATTTCTAACGAACAATTTAATCTTTATATTTATATCTTCAATACTACAAAATATACAAATACAAAATCAATATTCATACAATACAATTACAAATAGTCAAGATTTAAAAAAATCACAATTGTATTAAGTTAACACAAATTGCAGTAAAAATTAATAAATTAAAATTAAATACTATAATATTAAGATAAATTATATATTTATTTTTAGGTCAACTGACTTATGTTTTTTAAATAGTATAAAATGTAATTATCGTCATTATATTGAAATCCCGTACAATATTATGATTGCAATTTCTTTTCCTTAAAACTAACTATTTTCGGTACATTTATTATTTCATTTTGTTTTGTACCAATGCAGTCGTTGCAGACGCATTGCACATCTGTATTGAATACTCTGTATCAAATACTCTTAAAATAAAGTAGTTAAATAAATATATAATATTACATTGTTATAATGTTAAAGTAAAACCACGACGTCATGGTATTTTTATTTAACAAGAATAATTATAAGTAGAAACAAATTAAGAATTAAAAGAATAAAAAAAAAGTATTCAATATGGAAAAAAGTATTTGAATACTTTTACTCAAATACTTTACAACACTGTATATTAGACATTACTGCAGAATTGTTCACTAAAAATAAATGTATAAGTAAATGTTAGTAAAATAATGAACTTTGAAGTAGTTAATAATAACCTGAGAACCTAATGTCCTATAGGTACCTAATGAAAATATGCCGGGGACCAAACGTCCTATGGCTAATAACTCTCCGGGACGAAATGTCCTATCTCAATAATTGCCGGGGACTGGTTTTTTTTAAGGGGACGAAACGGCGGGGGCGAAATGGAGGTCCGTGATTCGAATATTATATACTGTGGGAAGTCCTCGGGTTGAATAAGATTCTCTTAATAGTCCAGCTTGGCACTATGACAAGATTACATACCTACCTAATTAACGAAACCCCGCATCGATGATAAAATGGCCACCTATTGGAATTTCTGCTGACTAATGGCCACACATGCAGAACTGTGAATCTAGCTAATACTAGCGAATTAGGGGAGGTGACCCACTGACCGTGGGAGCTGGGGCACTACAATTGTAAGGGACAAGTAGAGTAGAGGCATGAGCTGACTATACAGTAGATCCCCAAACGGCCCATTTTTCAGGAGTGATTCCAGATAGCTAGTACAAGCACCTCCAGGTCAGCCTATTCTTCAAAACGCATAATTTGGACTTAAAATATTTCAATCGACAGTATTCTTTTTGGACTTCGAAAATATTCGAGCAATCATATATTTTCTAACTGCCAGCTACATTCGTCGATCTGAATACTCTACGACACGTCATGTTCAATTTGTATCTGAGTTGAACATCATTGTGAACTATAATAAACAGTGAAAATACAATTTAAAGTCTGCATTATCTGCATTATCTGCATTAGATTTTTCAACCACACCTCATCCTGTCTTGTCATCGTCACCTGTAAGCGGGTATACACTATGCAGACTATTGTATTAAGCATAGGATAAAATAGCCTTTACTGATAGTGTGTATTATATTATGTGTGCAACAACTGTTATTACCAGGGGTATGAAACTCCATGAATTGGCCGAATCGGGCGATTGTGGCCTTGAACATGGTCTCCAGGGGGGCGTGGCATACGTGAAATAGGGAATAGTAAACAAGCCGACCCCGCTTAGCGTATCCCTATTATTATAATAAATTATTCAATGATTATACTTTTATAGGTAGCAACAGTTGGCCAGTTCACTCACCGGTATATCCGCGACTCGTGAGTTATTATTTGTTATTATTTTTAATGTTATATTGTTATACCTAGTACCTACCTATTTTAATTATTGATGTGACATATCTTTTGGCGGGGGATTAAAAGTTAAAACCATCGGTAGTGCGTCGGCCAAGACGGTGTGGAATTCAGTGTTGCCAGTATTTGTAAATGTGATTACCGTATATTTTAATGTCTGTATATTATAGTGACTTCAAAATTACCGTTTTTTTTCGATAAAATGACAGTACGGTGCAATTTTCATGCACATGTTAAAGTGGAAGGATATAATTTGATTGTTCGATATTCCAATATTCACTTCATTATACTCATAACAAAAAAAAGAAATATACTACCTATGAACAATATAATTAACTTATTAGTTAATAGTTTTTGTTGAATTTTGAATTTTGATTTTTTATTGGTACTTATACATTATAATTGATTTCTAAATCGATATCATACCATGTTTTTAGTCTTAAAGCCTTAAATTCCTGGACTTGATATAAAATTGACAATGCAAAATACACAGCAAACACCAAAACCCAGTAAATGGAAACCAAAAAAGTACGAGTATAGTAAATCGTCTTATGAGGAGATATTCAAAGTATTACAATCCTTACGCAAGTAGGTAATAAGTAATTTAAACTGCTAGATGAATATTAATATGGATTTTTATTTTTAGAGACGAGTATTTTTGTGATATTAAACTAGAAACAGATGATGGAACAATTATATACGGCCATAAAGTTGTTTTAGCATCGGCTTGTCCATATTTCCATGCAATGTTCACAAATTTTGAAGAAAAGGATCAAGATCTTGTTGTTATGAGACAGTTAGATTCTTCCGCCTTACAGCTCTTAGTAGACTTTATGTATTCCGGGAAAATCATGCTAACTGAAAACAATGTTCAGGTAATAATCGATAAAGTTAGATTTTATAAGAGACATCAACGTTTTTTAAATTATTTATTCTTTTATATCTCAAGGTTTTGTTACCAGATTCAAATCTCTTGCAGTTACAAGAAGTAAAAGATGCTTGTTGTGATTTTTTACATGCAAAACTGTGCCCTACAAATTGTATTGGTATAAATGCGTTAGCTGATTTACATAGCTGTACGGAATTGTTAACAAGTTCAGAATTATATATTCAACAAAACTTTTCGTATGAAATATTATTTATTATTTTTATTCTATAAGGAAATTGTATTTGTTATTATTATTATTATATTTTGATTCTTAGAGAAGTGGTTGAAGGAGACGAGTTCCTATCTCTATCACCTGAACAATTAGTAAAATTTATCTCTAGTGATGAAATTAAAGTTCCATCCGAAGAAAAAGTAAACAGACTAAAATTGATTATTATTATATTTTAGTAAAATGAGAGGAAAAATGAATTATCATACTTATATATATGTGGGATAGTCTAATTAATTTATAATTGTCAGTGTTTATTGTTGTAGGTATTTGAATGCGTTATTCGATGGGTAAACCATGATTTGGGTTCCAGAAAATGTATTTTACCCCAATTAATGGGACACGTACGTTTACCATTAACATCAAAAAATTACATATTGAAAAATGTAATTGAGGAACCTCTTCTTAATGATTGTATTACATGTTGGCATCTTTTTTAAATATGCATCTCTTGTGAATGAAATCATATTTTATAGTTAATATTTATAATTTTTAAGGTAAAAATTACGTAATTGAGGCATTACATTTTCATTTACTTAATAATTCAGACGAGCTTATCCCTTTTACACAAATCAGCCGGATTAAACCTAGACAGTATAGTGGTATTCATAAAGTAAGATTCCGTTATGACTTATTCATCTTTCCATTATTTTAATCGATTTATTTGTAACAGATAATTTTTGTGGTTGGTGGAATTGGGAATATAGCAAACAGTAGTACAGAATGGTATGACCCAAAAATCGACCAATGGCAAATTGGCCCAAAAATGATTACACCCCGTCGTGGTGTTGGTCTAGCTGTAGTAAAAAATAATTTCGTGTTTGCAGTGGGTGGTTTTTATTACAATTCTCTTCATTGTTCTGTTGACGTGCTAGATTTATCTTCAGAATCGCCATGTTGGAAACCATCCGTTGATATGTCAGTTAAACGAGGACTTGTAGGTGTAGGTGTAATAAATAATTGTGTATATGCCGTAAGTTATGTTGAAATATTATTTATTAGTAATTTTAGTTATAAAGTAGGTATATATAAATTATATAATAAATTCAAGGTTGGCGGTTTTGATGGTGACAGTTGTTTAAATAGTGCAGAAGTTTTCGACTGCGTTACTCAAAAATGGCGTATGGTATCCAATATGTCTACTAGAAGAAGTAGTGTTGGTATTGGAGTACTGAATAACCTTTTATATGCGGTAAACTAATATTTTATTTTATGATAAAAATATTCAATTTTTAATACCTAGAATTGTTATAATTGTAAGCGGAATAAAAAAATGTCCTCGAAGAACAATCACGGAATATTCATAGTAAAATGTTGAGATAATTTAAAATGTTAAATTAAAAAGTAAATAATTTATTAATTAAAATATTTTTTTTAATGATATGCAAAATATTGTAGATATAGTCTAGGGCAAGTCATTTTTAAAGTTGAATTAATTCAATTGTGTATAGGTAGGAGGTTATGATTCAGAGCATAGATTAAACTGCGTTGAATGTTATCATCCCAATCTTGATAGATGGACACCAGTTGCAAAAATGTCAGTATGTCGCAGTGCTGTGGGAGTAGGAGTTTTAGATGGTATAGTGTATGCTGTGGGCGGTTATGATGGAGTAGAAGTTCATAGTAGTGTTGAAGCATACAGCCCAAGTACTGGAGATTGGACTAATATCGCAGACATGCATTTGTGTAGACAAAATGCAGGTAATTAATTGTTTAATGATTCTAAATTATTTTATAAATATTTTATTTTATTAAAAATATATTTAATTTAAATTAATTTTTCAATTTAGGAGTCGTTGCATTTAATGGTTTATTGTATGTCATCGGTGGTAGTGACGGAACTTCTACTTTAGATTCTGTAGAATTTTACAACCCCGACACCAATACCTGGACCATGGTCACAGCGTCAATGAATATTGCTCGAACTTTTTTAGGAGCAGTAAAAATTGATAGGCCACGACATTTCAAAACTTAAGTATTTAAGTATTTTTATACCATATAATATATTTATATTTTTTTCTGTTATATGAGAGTATCTTTATTTTTTTCTATTTATTTTACTGATATTGAATATTTTACTAAACAATTTTTTTATGATATAAATTAATAGCCATTGATATGACACCATATTTTTAAACATCATAGCATACGATACATAATTTTATTTATATTAATATTTTTCTACATTATATGATAATATAACATTTTTGTTATTTTTCTATTAATTGTACAGTTTTGATTGTTTGAATAAAAAATGTTCTCTATTCGTCAATATTATGTAAATTGAAAATAATGTTGTCATTAAAAATGTATAAAATGTTTAATTTGTATAGATAAGGATAGAAAATTAAAAACAGAGTTTCTTATAAGTGTTTATACAAAAACCATAAAATATAAAAAATAAATAAGTACTTAAATACAATTTTTTTTATAAATATTTTAAGTGTGCATTTTGATCAGATTAGGTATATATTCAATCGAAGAATAACTAATTAATTTGTATTTATTTAAAAATATAATGTGTTATAATAATTTACTTATTTATAAAACACAAAAAATTACTTTTTTTATTGACATTTAGTAAATTTTAGGGGAAAAGTGCATATTTAGTTACCATATTAGTGCATATTAATATTGTTTCTAAAAAAAAAAAATGATCTTTTTCTTTCTTATATGCTGTGTATGCTAATAATAATATTGAATATATAACTCAATATTATTTAAAGTAGGTACTTAAACCTATATGTATTTCCGTATTAATTGTTATCTTCGCAGTCGACTATTAATCGTGTATTTTTAATATCTATCGCGAAAATATTTCTATGTGCTATCTTATATTTTTTTAACTATACTTTTTTACAGTTTATTAAAACGTCAAAATGGTATACATTATATACAGTTTTCCGCCATATATTAAATATTATAAATTTATTTTTCCAAATTTCCCATTTCTTTTAATTTAATAACAACATAAAATGGTTTTTTTTTAGTTTTGAATTGTTAACAAACTTTTTTGCATATTTGAAATTATTTCATGCATATTTTACAATTTATAGTGCGTATTTACATGCACATTTTTGATTTTTTAGCTCCTACAACTTACGAGTCCTAATTAAAATTACACTACATTAGGCACGAACGTCGACTGTGACCTACCTATACGTACACAGTTTATGAACAGCGAAGTGCAGGCCTAGGCATTATTAGTTATTTAAGTGGTGGTACACTAGAGTATATTTTTCAAAAATAAGTACCTACTCAAGGGCTGGGAAACACATACCTACGTGAATACAGCTTAGATATCACGGCATACCTTTTGGGAATCATTAATTTCTACATATACCTAATGTGTCTATAATCTATTGGTTTCAATATACAAGTTAATTTATTACAATATGGTCTGGCACGAATAGTGAAATAATAAGTAATTAACAAAATATTATAACTTAGGTATTTTTGTACAGAACCTAGGAGCTTTATTAACCAATTACAGACGATTTTCAAAGTATATCATTCCTATAATTACGATAGACTTTCAGTCGACTTAAAAACCTGTTACACAAAACGTTCGTATAAAAATCACTGATCCATGTGGTAATAAATTGTAAATTTATCTTTATTAATATTATTAAATATAACAACTATCTGTTTTCAATCTGTTTAGTTTTTTGATCAGCCGTTTCGTATTAGATATATTTCATTCTTATTTTGATTGACGACGACCAAGAGGTATTGTGTAAAATAAAAACACGCAAACAGAATAGGTAGTGTATTACCTATCGCTGAAAAAAAAAAGATATTGTACTCACGTGAAACGCGTAAGGTACCAGAAATATTATTTGTCGATACAGCGTGCGTGTAACTCACATTTAACGTGTATCTATAGTACAATGGCAGAACGTTAATAAATCAAATAAGACAAAAATACAATACCTGTGCAGACTGAGGTGAGAATAACGGTCAACTGTCAAGTTTAATATTATATAAATCGATGTGGCAGCAATGTAACGTCGTTCATGTTTAGAAGTTTTATAATATTAATTAAAACTAGTCCGTGACAGTAGCGAGGCGAGTGAGGTAGGTAATCGAGAGGCGCCCGTCTCTGATTTTCTTAAGGGGCCTGCTCGCGATTTTTCAAATTTTCCGCAATTCTATAAAATTTGAAAATTAAATTTTATATTTTAGTTGCCACCTCAATTATAAGACTTTTCCACTAATCTACTACCCAATACCTATTTAGGGGGGGTTGATAGGGTGTATTATATCGGTCAAAACACAGTTTACAGGAAAAACTCTCACACCTCGTAG